CCTTTTGAAGCACTTCATCATGATTGGAGTCAGTGCGACAGGCCGATAATCATTTAGTGAGGTGAATTGAGGCTTCTTTGGGACAGGAATGATGGTGGCAGACTTGAAGCATGCAGGCACTAGGGATTGGTACAGCGAGGTGTTAAAAGTGTCTGTGAGGACACCAGCCAGCTGATCTGCACACTCCTTATACACCTGCCCAGGTACAGTATGTTATCAGGCCCTGGGGCCTTCCTTGGGTTGACTCTCATCAGTGTTTTCCTCACTTCAGCTACGTCCAGGTTTAGTGCCTCCTTTCCCTGGTGTGGAACAGCTTTCACTGCTGGAGGCTGTTTAGTGCCTCAAACCTTCCAAAGAAGTTGATCAGTTCATTTAGGAAGTCAGTGTTTGCTGCAGCTACCGGGGGAAGGGTGTGTTTTAGTCTGTGATCATCCCAATGCCTTTCCACATCCTCCTGGTGTTGCTGTCATCGTGGAATCTGGATCTTCTTAGACAGGTGTTCAAATACTTACTTGCGGCTGTTTTATACAAATAAATAGTTAAAAAATGTTATAATTTCAGTTTTTTCTAGATTTATGTTCTGTCACAGTGGACATGCACCTACAATGACAATTTCCGACATGGTCTCTAAGTAGGAGAACTTGCAAAATAGCAGGGTGTTCAAATACTTATTTTCCTTACTCTCGATATACTAAGAAATGCATTCCAAAAAAAAAAGTTACATAAGTAAAAAAAACAAACAAACAAAAAAAAAAAAAACATTTCACTGTACTTAGGACTTTTTAAACTTTTTTTGGAATGACTATGACCTGGATGACTTCACCAGCATAAGAAATGTATGTTTTCCTTTAGCTGTAAGAGGCACTAGAAGACCCAGCAAGCCGCTTCTGGGTTTGGAGCTTGAGGCTCTGATGTAATTTCCCTTCCTCGCGTTTAGTTGGAGCTATAGGATTTTTGAAACCCCCCCAAAAAAATAATCATGCTACAACCACTTTCTATTTAACTTCCACTAATTGCAGTCAAAATTCACATCTGCAAGGGCTTTCCCATAAAGAACAGATAATGTTTTACCTGTGTTCAAAACTACAGAAAAAGGATGTTTTCAAATTTCTCCACTGGAAGCTGTTTTTAAATTGCAAAGTTTGCAGAAAAGATGATGAGTTGCTTATGCTAGTAATAATAAATAATAAAACCTTTGCATACACTTTCCACAGAGTGTTTTGCCTGGATAAATGGAGAGGTTCGGAAATCGCTAAAAGCACAAAACTCAGCTTTCAAGTCTGGTGATAAAGAGGCACTGAGGACAACGCATGCTAACTTCAACTGTGTCATCAGATCAGGGAAGCAGAACCACAGCCAGAAGATCCAGGTACTTTTCCACGACAACAGCAACACTGGGAGGATGTGGAAATGCATTCGGATGATCACAGACTACAAACCCCTCCATAAAAGACATTTCATCCCACCACTGCGTGTTCCGAGCCCGTAACATCATAAATGACCGCTCACCCCCCCACCATGGACTGTTCTCCCTCCTGCCCTCGGGGAAGAGACTTCGAAGCGTTGGATGCAGGTCCAGCAGATTTCACAACAGTTTCTTCCCCACTGTCATTAGACTACTGAATGTTTTGTAGAATGGGTTATTGTGTTGTATTTTATTATTATATTTATTATATTTTATCATTATATACACTATATTGCCAAAAGTATTTGCTCACCTGCCTTGACTCACATATGAGCTTAAGTGACATCCCGTTCCTAATCCATAGGGTTCAATATGACGTCGGTCCACCCTTTGCAGCTAGAACAGCTTCAACTCTTCTGGGAAGGCTGTCCACAAGGTTTAGGAGTGTGTTTATGGGAATTTTTGACCATTCTTCCAGAAGCGCATTTGTGAGGTCGCACACTGATGTTGGACGAGAAGGCCTGGCTCTCAGTCTCCGCTCTAATTCATCCCAAAGGTGTTCTATCGGGTTGAGGTCAGGACTCTGTGCAGGCCAGTCAAGTTCATCCACACCAGACTCTGTCATCCATGTCTTTATGGACCTTGCTTTGTGCACTGGTGCACAGTCATGTTGGAAGAGGAAGGGGCCAGCTCCAAACTGTTCCCACAAAGTTGGGAGCATGGAATTGTCCAAAATGTCTTGGTATGCTGAAGCATTCAGAGTTCCTTTCACTGGAACTAAGGGGCCAAGCCCAGCTCCTGAAAAACAACCTCACACCATAATCCCCCCTCCACCAAACTTTACACTTGGCACAATGCAGTCAGACAAGTACCGTTCTCCTGGCAACCGCCAAACCCAGACCCGTCCATCAGATTGCCAGATGGAGAAGCGCGATTCGTCACTCCAGAGAACGCGTCTCCACTGCTCTAGAGTCCAGTGGCGGCGTGCTTTACACCACCGCATCCGACGCTTTGCATTGCACTTGGTGATGTATGGCTTGGATGCAGCTGCTCGACCATGGAAACCCATTCCATGAAGCTCTCTGCGCACTGTTCTTGAGCTAATCTGAAGGCCACATGAAGTTTGGAGGTCTGTAGTGATTGACTCTGCAGAAAGTTGGCGACCTCTTCGCACTATGCGCGTCAGCATCCGCTGACCCCGCTCCGTCAGTTTACGTGGCCTACCACTTCGTGGCTGAGTTGCTGTCGTTCCCAAACACTTCCATTTTCTTATAATACAGCTGACAGTTGACCGTGGAATATTTAGGAGCGAGGAAATTTCACGACTGGATTTGTTGCACAGGTGGCATCCTATCACAGTTCCACGCTGGAATTCACTGAGCTCCTGAGAGCGACCCATTCTTTCACAAATGTTTGTAAAAACAGTCTGCATGCCTAGGTGCTTGAATTTATACACCTGTGGCCATGGAAGTGATTGGAACACCTGATTCCAATAATTTGGATGGGTGAGCAAATACTTTTGGCAATATAGTGTATATATATATATATATATATATATATATATATATATATATATATATATATATATATATATATATATATATATATATATATATATATATATATATATATATATATATATGTTAGAACTGTAAATTTACAGTCATTTTTACTATTTTTAAAGGCTGCACTTTTAAAAAGATGAAATTGTCCAGTGAGCTGTTTCCAAACGAAATTTCTTTTTTGTTTTACACTTGTGTAAACAAAAATCACAAATAAAATCTGTCTAAAGTCTAAAATTCTAAAGTCTATCAGCTAGAATTCTGAAACTCAAAGACTTGTTAGTCTGCTTTCAAAATGTCCACCTCCCCTCCTTTTATTATCCTAAATTAGATGCACCTGTTTGAGGTCATTGGCTGCATAGGGACACATGTCCACCCCATACGGTAAGAACTAACATGGTCAAGACCATAGAGACCAAAGACATTAGAGACAAAATTTTAAACCTCCACAAGGCTGGAAAGGGCTACCAGGAAATTGCCAAGTAACTTGGTGAAAAAAGGTCCACTCTTGGAGCAATCATTAGAAAATGGACGAAGCTAAACATGATTGTCAGTCTCCTTTGGACTGGGGCTCCATGCAAGATCTCACTTTGTGGGTCTCAATAATCCTAAGAAAAGTTAGAAATCAGCCCAGAGCTACACGGGAGGAGCAGGTCAATGACCTGAAAAGAGCTGGGATCACCTTTTCCAAGGTTACTGTTGGCAAGACGTCATGGTTTGACATCATGCATGGCGTGGAAGGTTCCCCTGGTAAACCAGCACATGTCAAGGCCCGTCTTAAGTTTGCCAACGACCATTTGGATGATCCAGAGGAGTCATGGGAGAAACTCATGTGGTCAGATGAGAACAACTAGAACTTTTTGGTCATAATTCCACTAACCATGTTTGGAGGAAGAAGAATGACGAGTACCATCCCAAGAACACCATCCCTACTGTGAGGCATGGGGTGGTAGCATCATGCTTTGGGGTGTTTTTCTGCACATGGGACAGGGCGACTGCACTGTATAGAGGAGAGGATGACCTGGGCCCTGTATTGCCAGATTTTGGTGAACAAGTCCTGACTGATCTAGAGAAGATCTGTGTGGAGGAGTGGGCCAAAATCCCTCCTGCAGTGTGTGCAAACCTGGTGAAAAACTACAGGAAACATATGACCTCAATAATTGCAACCAAATATGAACATTGATTTTCTCAGGTGTTCAAGTACTTAGTTTTAGCTGTATCATACAAATAAAGAGTTAAAAAATTATATATTGTGGTTTCGGGATTTTGTTTTTTAGATTATGTCTCTCACAGTGAGCATGCACCATCGATGACAATTCCAGGCCCCTCAATGATTTCTAAGTGGGAGAACTTGAAAGATAGCAGGGTGTTAAAATACTTATTTTCCTCACTGTATGTTTAAGTTCATTGTTTGTTTGTTTTTTATGAAACAATAATTTCAAATTTTCAATATATTTGAACAAAACAATGTCAAAAAGTCCAGGTTACATTTTTGACCCAACTTTTACAATCCTTGGATTAGTTGCACTTGAAACCTTTTTTATTTATTTATTTTTCAAATGTTGGTGCAGAGTTTGTTGGTGGTCCATTCTCTTACATCAAACTCTTACATCAAACTCATCTTAACAAGTCCTGTATAAATTCAGTTCAAAAGCATGTACTTCAAACTTTTGGACAAATTAAATAAAGAATTTATGGGGAATCTTAAATAAAGATGACATAGGATTGTTGAATATCCGACTTTATAGAGGCGGGAATTTGGGTTCATTGTAAGTTAAATGTGGTACCTGAAACTGAAACATAAAGGCTTTCTCTTGAATTTAATAAACATTTTCAATTCGCGAAACAAGCATTGTCACCTTTATATTCTACTCAACAAATCAATCCTTTGTAGTTATTAACACATAAAAGTTTGCTTGTTTCTTTGTTTTTCATTTTTGCTTGTTTTGTTCAGAATCTGGACAGAGAAGCGTTTGAATCCGGATGGGAGGCAGAGGAGGAGTGTCCAATGGCAGGAGCGGGGAGGCGGTGAGGGAGGCGCAGCAGCGGCCAGGCCAGCTGCAGGAAAGCTGCGCGCGTCGCTCCTGAACCAGCCGCTGGGGCCGCATCAGGTGGAGATCTGTTCATCAGCGCAGCAGCAGCAGCACAGATCACCATCAGACTCCTCCTGCTCCTCATCTCCGCGGCTCCAACTTCACGGGTTTTGTTTCACCTCTGAAACTGTTTTTTTTTTTTCCTTCTTCTTTTTTTTGCCATAACACTCTCTGAACAAGACAAGTGGAAACCTATAGAAAAAAAGACACCGGCAGAAAAAAAAGGTGAAAATACGCTCTATTTTTTATTAATGTAGAAAATTTAGATATTGTGATTTTCTATTTGTATTTGAAGGGTAATAAACGGTGTTTCTTGGACGGCAGATTTCTAACACAGCTGTGAGTTCAGTACCTGTTGCTGTGTTATTAAGAGCTGAAGCTATATTAGACAGAGGTGCTTGGCAACTCAGGGACAGACGGGCTATTCTTAAACGCTCTATTTTGACTGATGTAAACAATTCATTAGGAATCATCATCCCCCAAATTATTCCCAGCTTTGAGCTTTGGGATTCTTTCTCATTGTTATTTTAGGTTCTTATAGAATATAAGATATACGATATTCGATATATAAATGTACGTTGGGCCCATGCCATGATAGCTCCTCTTCCACTCTAAGATAGATAGATAGATAGATAGATAGATAGATAGATAGATAGATAGATAGATAGATAGATAGATAGATAGATAGATAGATAGATAGATAGATAGATAGATAGATAGATAGATAGATAGATAGATAGATAGATAGATAGATAGATAGATAGATAGATAGATATTGAGCCATTTGTGGTAAGTTCTCTGACTGCTTTTCCACCAAAAACATGAAGGTCAAATGTCTTTATCATGCTTAGAGTGTGTACCATTGCTGCTCATATCAAAAATATCAAGGCAATTAAATTATCTCCAGTTAAAATTAGATAGAAATTTCCTCACCATTACTCTGGTCAGGCCGCTAGTCAGTGTATGAACTGTCTGACCCTCTAGCTGACAGGAGCACACACACATACACACACTTGAGGCGACTTTTGTGTTTCTACAAGTAAACTCAGATCAATAGAATAAAATGAAAAACATTGATAAATTAAAAGAAACCAATAATTACTAAAAAAAAATGTAAATTTGTAAAATTTCTAATTTTACAAGTCTGAAATGTTTAAGTTACCAAGTACAATTTTTTAACAGGTCCTTGTGATGTAACAGATGCTTCATCCCTTTTTTAAATGTGAGATGCAGAGAGCATGCATTTCTTTGCAGCGGAGTTTACTGTCAGTCTTCAGGGGACTTGTACCCTAAAAGTTCACCCTGCTTGGACACACCTGGTTTAGATTTATCACACACTGGATCTGTCACTCTTTCTCTGTCTAATTCCTTAACCCACTGATAATAGCAATTCCTCTCTAGTCTTATAAGTTATGTTACTCTCACTAATGCGCCATTTGGCCATAAAAAGGAAGCATGGAACCAAACTAGTCTATAGGATGTTCGCACACAGTAGATCATTTAGTAGAACATTATTTTTAAACACATTTTTAAATCAGCCGTGTTTTTCACTCCTTTGAACATTACATGATTTGTTAATTTTTTTTTTGTTGCATCTGCAAAATAATCTATAAACATGGTTAATATACATATTTAAATACGTTAAAGAGGAGGGAAAATAAATTACTGTTAAAAGGGGGTAAGTAAAATTACTTTTAAAATATGATAAAGCGGTTCTCTGTGTGTCTAAAATGACAGATTAAGTCTTAACATCATAATGATTCAATAACTCTTTTATAAATTACGGCAATATTAGAAGATGAAGAAACATTTGTTTAAAGACCTTTTTCCAACACTGCATAAATGTGATTTTCTTCTCCAAGTTTGACTCAGTGGTGAAAAAAGTGATGTAGTTTCTCACACTACTGCTACCACTTTATACAGCCTAGATGAGGGTGAAGGATCGAGGTAGCATCTCTGGGCGATCAGCTTCCCTTCCTTAGGTACATGCCTTTTTATCAAATAGCGTTAAATGATCAATGGACTTCTACGTTACTCTGCTTTGGTTAAAACCAAATATCTAACATCTCATTGATCCTTGATGTGACAGAATTCATAAGACTTATTTGGTCTGATTTGAATTGTGTTTGGAGCTGTGAAGCTGGATAATAATCAGAGCAAGTTTGTCCTGTAGAGTACGCTGAGATGACATGGGTTGTGTTTTGGTGGTATACAAATAAAAAATAAATAGAAATACCTCCCATCAAATGAATCATAAGCTGGTAAAAATGTAGATCTTATATTCACTTTATTGTTACCAATATTGATGTGTCTCTTTTGTCGTGTTGTTGGAGGACATTAATGAAGAAGACAGATTTTTTTTTTCAATATTAAGGATATATTCTATTGGTGTGAACGTCATTACTGCTATTTCCCATTTTCATATTGCAGGAGTTTGAATACCAAAACAAGGCATCTGTCAAAACTCTAAATATCAGTTCAGAGTAAAGTTAAGAAGCCAGTGACACAGTGTGTTTCCTCTTCCACCACAAATGGCCTTCTATCTAGCCACATTTAACACACGTTAATGCCAATGCCTCTCTGAAATCTCTTTTGATGTCAGATCATGAGTTTAAGTTAATGTGCATGCACGTGTTTACCATGTTTCTGAAACATTTACACGCCACCGTGATCCGAAATGACTCATGGAAAGAAACCCATCGAAGCAGAAACCTCAATTCTCTGCAAATCCCCCACTTTTTTCCCTTTCTCATTCATGCGTAAAGTTTACAGCAGTATGAGCACATGGTGCGTACATTATTAAACAACACTTGTGAGCTAACTCTGATCTTACTGATTGAAATATTACTGTCTGATGAAGTTTTCTCTGCATGCTTTGTGTCCTGCTGATGTTTTCCCTGGTCTTAAATCAGAGAATCCATTTGTGTTGCAGAGTAAACCTGTTGCACTGAGTGCTGTGTGTTTTGCTTTTTAAGTTTCTATGAGTGGATTCAACACGTTATGACAGTGCAGACAGTACTTCTGTCTCTTATTCATGAGGTTTTCAGGTATATAAGAATAAGATACACCTTTTCCTTCTCATCTCCTTTTTTTACAGAGGCGGCTTGTTTTGGATTCAACTTAGAGATCCGGATTCCTTGTTTAGAACTTTACACCAACAGGCTTCAAACAGCCATTTTAACGTGGGAAATCTTGTATTATGAGCCTTGAACAACACAGCCAGGCTTTTCCTGCCCGTCTTGGCCTTTAGGCTCTTGACAAACCTGTGAAACCACAAAGAGCTCTGCAGCCAGCTCTGCGCTCCCCGGCTGGATGCGTGGCTATATTTACTCATTTAGTGGTGTGTTTTTCACAGAGCAGCCTGTGGCGCTTGATAGCTGTAATTTGGTTATTTGGTAGATGAGGGGAACCTTCTGTAAAGATGCAAGATAAAGATCTTTTTGCGCTGCTTAAAACATACGTCCCACTTCCTTGTCTTTCCACCCATGAAAAGTCTTGATATGAGGTTAAATTGTCTCACTTCTGGTGTGAAAAAAAATGAACCGCTTGCGTGGACCTAGTGTGAATTCTTTGTGGTATCAAAGTTGTCAGTCAGATATACCAACACTGGTTTTTGTGGTCCTATTTGTCCATTACGTCCTTTGTTTTGCCGAGGTGCGCGCTGCTGCTCTGCAGGATTCGCTGTTAACTTGTCTCATGTTTTGTGCAGCAGATTTCCTCTAACTTTATAAGGTAATTGTCAAAGAGGTGGATTCCATCAGAAGTGACCCGAATGCATTTGTGCCAAGCTTACGTTGAGGAGCAGCGGGTACTTCAGGGGTCATGGGAACATGGGCGCCATATCCGCTCAAGCAGCATCAACAGAGGCGAGCGACTAAATTTAGCAAACTCTGCTACACGTCCAGAATTAAGGGGGAAAACCAACAGAAATTCCTCAGGGGTCAGGAGATGTATTCTATAGTCATATAATAAGGATAAAGTAACTGTCAATGTTTTCCACTGAAGCAAACAGGACTCTAGGAAAAGTCATTGATTTTTCTTTTCTGTAACACCAAAGCTCTGTATTAAAGGAGCAATGTTTTTGACTGCAAGTAAATAAAGAAAACATTCTCAAGCCTGCCACCCTCCATCCACGACCTTGCCCTCTGCCCCTCAGAGTCTCGCTTTCTCTCCAACCTCGCTGTGCATGAGAGACGAGTGGGTGGCTAATGTTGTGGGCCATCTTTCAAAAACTCACACACCATTTTCCTTCTGCTGTTTGGTTTAAGCTATTGCCTGCTGAACCTCTAAAAAGGAGCCGTGGACTGTATTTTTAACCCCGTCTCTTGGGGCCAGGCGGTGCATTTGAGCACCGCGCTGCTAGACTGAGGGGAGAGTAACGCACAGACTCTTTCAGTCTGCGTGGACAAATGGTCTGGCAAAAGTGGTTCTGACTTTAGACCACATCGTCTTATGGTGGTAAAAATAAACGCTACCCCCCTGAACAGAGAGGAAGGAACCTGAGTCACTTCGACCAAACAGAGGACATGTTCTCAACAGATCTAAACTGATGTGAGAGACTTACAACAAAAAAGTGGATTTTAATTAATTAAATGTAATTCTGTACAAAAGTGAAGAATATTTTCTAGAACTTCTGTAACCAAAAAGCGGCAAATTTAACTTTGTCAAGAGTATTGTAGCCAGGATATTAGTGCTGGCCTGCAATTTATCAAAAACCATTGGAGTAAAAATGTCTTAAATGTATTTATCCTTAATTTGAATTAGCAAATAAGATGATGTCCCAATGGAATCATATCAACCTTAAAATAAGAAAATTAAAATTAGATATTATGCTCTTGAAATCAGAGACTGCAGGTGTTTTTTTCTTATTTTAAATGTAAATTGTCTTGTTCCATTGGTAAAGTGCCTCACTTACCTGATTCTCAATTAAAGAAAAAATGCACTTATTTAAAGAAAAATTTACTTTTTGCTGTGTGAAATATATGCATGCAAATAAAAAAAAAACTAGAATAGAAATATCATTGTTTGTCGCTCGGTGGAGAAATTTGAGACATTTATTAATGCTGTTGTCCACAAACACAATAACAGGCTTGCTGGAAAAAAATATAATTGTTTTCAACTTGAAAATAACAGTATGGTGAATGGAACATGCATCCTTTACCTTCATACCACCATATAAAATTCACTGAAATCAGCTACCGGTTCAGAAATGTGGTCCAACTGTGTAAAAATTAATTAGAGCTGCCATGTAAAGGCCTCAGTGTTTTATTAGTGATCAGAAACCTCAAAAGGGAAGAGTTTGTTGGCAGGTAAAACATTAGTCATTTACCACACCTCTGGTGTCTATTCAGAAGATGCAACAATAAATCCATGGGCATAGGTTTGCACAGGGACCATTGGGACATTTCCCTACCAAAAGTTTGGACCGACCTACTTGTCCCTACCAACAATTACATGTGAATAACATGTTTATAATTTTCAATAAAACGTTGCAGCAGTAGAGGACTTCTGGATGGAGAATATTGACAGACGAAAACATGTTTTATCTAAAATGCAAAATGTTTATTTATTTTTAGAATTTTGCTATAATTCCTGTTCTAAGTGGGTCACTCTTTGAGCTAAAGACATGTTTTAGAGTCTCTACACTGAAACAAAAATTGGAACCACTGTTGGCATTTATTAATCATATTTAGTTACTTTAACAATTGTTTTATGTCCTACCCTGCTAACATGAAACTATTGTGTTAAAGTAACTAAATATGATTAAGTTAATGCCAAAAAATGGTTGCATAATTTTTTTGCCATTGTATACTACAGTTTAGGATTAATCGATTACTTAATTTGCTGTTATTTCAATAATTGTTTAATGCGATTAATTGTTTCAGACCTAAATAAAATACATGAAACAGAGTAACTACAGCCTAGATGTACAACTTGTAGAGTGAAGTTAATATATAAAATGCTCAGTGTTAGTTCCTCTTCTAGTTCCAGCGCTCATGTACCGGTAAATACAATACATTTATTTGGCGTCCCTTGAATCTATTATTTCACTTAGTTTCATGATGCAAAGATAACATTTAAAAGATAAAAGTGGGTTTTACCTCTGTTTACCTCTGCACAATTCTATATTTTCAATAAAAAAAAGTATAAATCCACATATAGCAGACATATTTAGACTATATTCTGTCAAATAGGCACAGATTTACCTACCGTCTTAGTCACTGGTAAATTCAACTGCAAACCTTTTCAAAGTGGAAAAAAGTCCTAATTCCACATTCAACAGAGCAAGTTGAGCTTCAGTCATTGATAAACCGATCTAGTGTGTGTAGTGCTTATAAAATTTGTATAAATGTAGAAAGAAATGCTGCTTTTCTCTTTAAATGAAATACACCCTGATTTTCATGTCAAGCATGAAAAAAAATGAGCATGCATGTTTTTGCATAGGACCAATGACATCAGACCAATAGTGTCCCTACCAATGTTGAAATCAAAGCTACGCCCTTGAAGAAAGTTATACGAAGTGCCAATTTGTTGTTTGCAAAAAAAAAATTATTGGTGTCAGTATCATGGGGTTGTGACCTGAAAGCTCAAAGGGTTGAGCCCGCGACAGGATTTATTGAGAAAAAAGTTCACTAAAGTATATGGTGTCATTTGTCCACAGGTTTTACGACAAAACATGGGAAGAAAGAAAATTCAAATTTCTCGGATTCTTGACCAGAGGAACAGACAGGTGAGTCTATAAATAAAACTTTGTCTGATCATTTTTGCACTTCTGTATCGCTCACATTATCTGTTACTGAAAGCAAATATACTTAAAAAGGAACCAAAAGCATATGGAAAAAAAAATTAAATAATAAAAAAAGTTCATGCTTCATGCCTTACAATACAAACAGCAACAATTTTAGTTCTTATTAATATAGCAAACAAAAAAATTCAAAAACCACAAAAAAAAAAAAAAAAAATACTATAGAAGAACTTAGGAGAAACAGACACCATAACATGACGCCCTGTTACTAAAATCCACCTAAATTAATGAAAAATAGTGAACTTTGAGGCAGGATTTTGACAGGACAGGACAAAAAAATAAAAAATTAATCATAGGTAAATATCTAAAATCAAGCGGCTGTAGCAGCAGAAGACATGAGTTGGTATTCAATTATTATAGGTCAACTTATTTTTCATTTAAATTCCTTTGGTTCCATTGTTAAGACATATCATTAGGAAAAAGGCACACAGTGTTATTATGGATGTGCAGAGCTGCTCTATGTGGCATATAAATCCTCACATAGACTAAGACAACTTTTATTGTCACTTTGTATACATAGTGTATACAAAACGAAATTTCATTTTGTACAGCTTTCATGACATTTCCATTTCTTATAGTGCAGCAGTGATCAAATGTAAACATTGTGGGAGAAACAAAAAAAACATTTAAAAAACCCCCAATATGGATCCTCACAGTAAAAAGTGAGTAAAATCTTCTGTTTGTTCTTATGGACCGTCGCACAGGAAATACATTTATTATCCGATCGGCAGAAGAGCTGATTTTTACTGGGAAGGATTTCTTCTGTTTGATTTTGTTTTTCCTTTTTTTCATTTCACATAAACTTTGCTGAAAATCCAAAAAGCAGCTTCTTGCAAAATGATACATTTTTATGAGCTCTTAATTTGTGCTATATTTAGATTTTGGTTCCAGTATGAAAATCTATTCTTGATTCCATTAATAATCAGCTGTAGAATCTGTTACCTCAGCCTTAGAAATATGTTGACATTTCTGCACCATGTGTCACATCAAAGGTCAGCTATGCATATCATAAGAGTCTGCTGAAGTTTTGTCGAGACGATGCACATGGCTGTAAGAAACAGAGCATTTTCTTACTGCCAACTAAATGGTATAACTTTAGAAAATGACATGAGAACGTCGACAGGCTAACACGGGATAACAAAATGAGTTCAAACGCTATAAAACAAAGGATTTTCAAGTAAAGTTTTTGTCTTTGAGAATGTTATAGTTTAAAAGTACACAACATAAACCAACAAAAAGAAAAGTTATATACATTTTTTTTTTGAAAGGTATTTAAATAAAAAGTGACATTTAATTAATTACTCTCAATGTTCAGCACAGTTGTTTTTGTGTCATTTTGTCTCATGTATCCTGACAGTTTTATGTGTCTGAGGAAAGACAATAGTTAGATTTAGATTTTAGATTTATTTATTTTCACAAATCAAAATTGAAGTTCAGAATACATCCATAAGATAATATTGAAAATAAAAATGAGTAAAAAATATTGAAAATACTGTAAGAAATGATTGTGGGAGAAACCCCTTATACCAAAGGCCACACACCTAAAACATCAGGCAGCTCACATTATAAAAGACATTTCAAAAACAGAAAACAGGAAAAAGCATGTACAGGGCGACATTATTTTTACATTTTAGTTTTCAGGGAGTCAATATTTATTAAATCATGCATCACTGTCCTTGTTGGATATCATGGTTTCCTTCAAAGACTTTTTACCATTTATCTCTGAAGATTCCAAATATTTTTCATATTCATTCCATAATTTTGCACTAGGATGTCGAAAAGAAAATTGCACTTGAGTTTTAGTACTTAATGGTAAATGAAAAGACAAAGCTTGTCTCTCTAAGAATGCATTCTGCAGTGGAACTATCAGGAGACTGACCTTGTTTTATCATAAGAACAAAGGTACATGTTTGATAAATATAAATTTCATAAATATTCTACAAGCAGTAAATTGGAGAAAAGCGGAGCATCAGCTGAATCAACTTTAGAAAATGTTCCTAAGTGAATAAAAACTTTTTGTAGAAGTAGGATTTTTTTAAGATAACTAGGAAATTTACTTATTTGTATGTGAATTTATTGTAACAGAGAAAAAAAATGTGGATTTAACAAAGGATTACATTTCAAATCGATTTCATTTCTGTTGCTCCCAAAAAAATATATATTTGCTAGCTTTAAAAATGTTTAGCTATTAAAATTTAAAAGAGTATTTCAGCAACATTAAATTTTTCTAGCACTGCAGAAAAATTATTCTAAAATAAACTATTTATTTTGAAAGGAAAGTAAAAAAAAAAGGAAAGATAAATGTTTTCTATTTTTTTGTTCGATGTTTGAGCTTTCCATCTAAAAAGAAAGCTTGAACCATTGATAATTAACAAAAACAGTGAGACGAGCTGTTAAAACCACCTTTCTGTTGAATTTATTATTAAAAGACTTTTCTCACTTGGTTTTAAAAGAGCCACAGTGGAGGGGCCAAAGATTCACACGTGGCCTCGGAGCCGTTGGTAGCAAACCCTAGACTATGGGTTAATGAAATATGTGTCAGTGGGAGAAGTCTGCTTTTTAGAGAAAAAGACCAATTCACAAAAAGATTATGTTGATTTTTTACGCAACAAGAACTAATAAATGTATAATATTTTCAACCTTGTTTAAAAGCTATAACAGCTGGCGTTTATTCACAGGACGCAGATTTGATTGATTTTTTTGTTACCACGGCAGGTGACCTTCACCAAACGTAAGTTTGGTCTGATGAAGAAGGCGTACGAGCTGAGTGTGCTCTGTGACTGCGAGATCGCCCTCATCATCTTCAACAGCACCAACCGTCTGTTCCAGTATGCCAGCACGGATATGGACAAAGTGCTGCTGAAATACACAGAGTACAGTGAGCCGCACGAGAGTCGCACTAACACCGACATCCTGGAGGTATGCCGTTAACTTAGGAAAAGGATGGCAGAATTTTCTTTTAATTAAGTTGTTGCAATATAGTTTTTGCAAAAATGAACATCAGAAAAAAATGTTTTTGAAATAAATACAAATGCTTACACTAGTCCACCTATTAACACACAAACCTAAAACCAAGGAAGCCCAAACATATGAAAGGACGCAAATGTTGGAGAGGTTGTAACGATTGAAGGTTTGCTAGAGTCTTATTAACAGAATGTTTTATTTGATGATGAAATAACAGTTATAAACGTTGAGACAAAAAATCAAGAAAAAAGCAGTTTTGTGACCATTTAGCAGCGACTGGTACGCTCATCATGCACTCCTTTGCCCTGCATCAGACGCTGCGCAGAAAAGGCCTCGGTCTGGATGGCTCGGAGCTCGACAGTGAGGAGAGCGTGCAGGCTGCTGCAGACAAGTATTCTGGCAGCGACAGCATGGACCTTTCTGTGGCTCGCCAGCGTTTCTGTGTCAGTCAACACACACTTCTGCTTTCGCTCACCTAACACAGACACACACATAGAAATTTGAAAACACAGATGCTCAGCTGGTGACAGGCTGGAAGTTGAACTGTGGTTCTGATTCTTTATGCTTCGTCCTTCAGCCTCCCTCTCTGCTGTCACCAGAGACCCAGTTCCTCGTGTCTGCTGGTTGTGAAAATGGTTTCCCCAACTCCTCTGCATGCGCCGTGGCTCCCCACAGGCCAACAGGATTTAAAGCTCTGAGCTCACGTCCAGGATCTGCAAGCCCTGCAGCCCCGCACGGCGCATTCATGTCCCCTCATGCAGGTCAGCACAGCAGCTCTTATGAAATGCTGAAAGCTTTTTGAAATCATCTGACATTATTGTGATTTACAAAAGTACAATATTTAAAAAAAGACATTTTTATTTGAAAGAGTTTGCATTTAAAGCCATTAATCTGAGGCAGAGAGTTTCAGATAGAAATCCGTCCACCATTTTCTTTTCATGTAGCCTTCATGTGTCTGCTGGCAGCCCAATGTGCAGCTGGCTGTGAACTCACAGGAAGTGTGTGTGTGTGTGTGTTTGCACTAATCCACACATGCAGTAAGCCTGTTTTGTGAAACTGGCCTTCCACTAGTGTAACAGCAGCTATAACCAGTTTTGTGGTTTTTACACAGAATGCATCACACCTGCCTATCATGCCAGACTTTTATATTTTCATGACCACTTCATTAGCTTCTGATCTTTCTAAGTTAATTTGTTTTTCAAACTTTTTAATGTTTATTTCATCTTCTCAAAAGTGATTAAGTCAAGTTGTGGAAAGCTTCTTACTGTTGTTCTACATAGATGGACAAGTTTATTTATTTTCATGTCTTAGATTGAGTCGCTTCATAAATGATTTTCTGCACTTTATTCACTCCCTGCTCGTCTCTGGTCTCTAGGCATCGGCTACTCAGTGTTCTCTCATGGCAACCTGAACCGCGCTCTGGACATGAAAAGCCCTCCTCCTCCTCTCAGTCTGGGCAGCGAAAACCTGCGGGCAGATGCTGCAAATCAGGCCATGGGGGCTGCAAGAGCAAACCACAACTCTGCTGTGAGTTCCAGCTGCATTGTGATCCAAATTAGACAATCCACCACAAGCCTAGCGTAGAAGTCAAATGTTACAGAATTTCACAGTTTGGTTTATCAGCCACCCTCAGTTCTCACTTTAATAACCGGTGGCCAGTTTTGAGAAGAGGGACTTCGCTGCACATCTTGTATGACTGTCTGTGTTTCTCCTGATTGCCAGAGGAGTCTGCTGTACCAGGGCCTGCATGGCAGCGGCTCTATGGTGGCCATGGGCAAAGCAGGGCTCCTGGGTCACAGCTTCGGGGGCTACAGCCTTCCCTCCACTGGAGCTTCTGGTAAATCTGGTTGGAATTATTCCATAATTATGTAAAATGGTATATAAAATGCTCTGAAGGACTCTTTCTTTTAAACCCCTTCTACTTTGTTGTAACTTTGAAGGGTGTTTTTTTTATGTTAATAACAAATATCTTAGCATAAAAGTAAAGAAAAAAGGCTAGGCTCCTGATATTTGGTAGCTATTGTCCGTTTAATGCCTTCGTTCAAGTTTTTTTTTTTAAACCTTAAACCTGATTCAGTTTTCTTCCCCTCCTTTTATTTAACCTGTCTGCCGTTCTTTATGGTTTAATAAAACCATAAAAGCTACTGGTTTTACTGGTATCAGAGATATTAATACAAATCCACACCAAACTTTCATCATCTTTCTTCAATGTTTCTATTTTCCACTGGTCTGCTGGCTCCATGCCATTGTATTTTATTATATCAGCCCTTAAAGTTCAAGTTTATGCTTGATTCTTTTGAGATTTGTAAGAAAGGCAAATTGTGAGTTTGGAACAAGACCAGAAATGGGCATGTTTGTGCTTGAAGTGCCTACTTCTTAAGCTAAGGCTAAAAATGGCAGGTGACGCTACTAAGAAAGTGACACCTCCATTGCACTGGGAAGTACATCCGCTTTAAAGACGACTCTTGAATCTGTTGCTAGTTTCGACTTCCTTGTTCTATTTTTTCTTCTTTTTCAGGTTTTTTGTGATTATTCTATTTTTATTTGCTTACTTGTGGATATAAGCTGTTTGTACACTCTTAACTATAAACTAACTGTTCCTCTGGTCAAGCTTTCAAACAGTAATTGTCTAGTTACCAGTAGAGAAAAAGTCAAGAACGGACATATAATCCACATTTTTACCAATTCAGAGTCAGCTTTTCTTCCATTGCTCGTGTCCACACCTATAAAACAAGAACTATACCGTTAACTTCCACAATTTCATAAACAGCGAGTACATAGGAGCTGTCTCACGATTTAGTTATTTATTAGAGCTGCATGGTGGTCCAGTTGCTTTGCAGTAAAAAGGTTCCAGGTTTGATTCCCAACCCGGGGTCTTTCTGCATCGAGTTTACATGTTCTCCGTGTGCATGTGTGGGTTCTCTCTTGGTACTCCAACTTCCTCCCACATTCCTAAAACACACTGGTGACCTATCCAGGGTGTAACGCCACCTCTCGCCCATAGACTGCCAGGGATAGGCCCCAGTCCTATCATGACCCTGATGGAATAAGCAGGAGAACATGTATGGATTGATTTCTATCTATCAGATCTAACCCATCTATGGGGCCTGATGTCACCTCCAGTCAGGGCATTTTCTGAGGAAAACAAGTTTTCTTTCAGTTCCCGTATGACTTTGGTTCCTTTGATTCACAGCTGGTTGTAGGCTAATACAGTGTTTCCATGCCTTTTTTGAAAGTGGAGAGTATAATTACTGATTAATTAATAAAAACTATTTCACTTTATCTTTTATTTTCAGCATTTGGTTCTTATCATTTTATGCTTTCCATCTTAAAATCAAATATAAATACAACATTAATACGTTGCCTGGAAGTTAATAAGCAATTTAAAGACATACAAAATAGAATATAATATACACCTATATTTATAAAACTAGAGCTCTACTCAATAACTTCCTTATAATCACATTTAAACTTGATGAATTGGGAACAAAATACAAAACAAAAATTATCTTCAGACTGACTTAGTTTTACTTGTTTTCATCAAGACACCCGAGCTGCTTTGATGACCAGTGTGAAAAACAGCTGATCCCTGGCTGTTCTTTACATCCAGTCTGTTCACCTGCTTGGTTTGGATGTGAACCAAAGCTGAAGGTGAACAAAAACATATAAAAATTACTTATTTGTTGGTTGATAAAAGCTTGTTTAATTTTCCATTTGGGTCTTCACAAAGCAAAGCAGATTGCAGCCCAATTTTATTTTACTACCTAAGAAATAAAATATTTTGATTTACCCCTTGCAATGCACTCGCAGACCACCAGGGGTACATGTACCCCGAGCTGAGAAACACTGGCCTAATAAACAATATGTAATATAAATAATTTTGTGGCTCATCAATGGGGCTCTGGGTTACAGTTTAAGCGGGCTGAGGTTAGGTGGAAAGGTTACTGTAAAAAAAGATAAATACCACAGAAGGGCCTTAGAGTGCCGGGGCCCTGAGACCAGTACCAGCTGTTGCATAATCCTCCAATCAAGAAATGAGAAGCAGCATTATTTTGCTCAGATTTCTTCCCATGAGGCAATCAGTCAGAGCAGAGAGAAAGGTTGTGGGTGTCTTTAACAAACAGAGATGCAACAAAAACCTGTTTAGATCAATAAGATAGGTGACTTACTGAATCCCTTAACTTCTACAGGGAGAAGATGGGTCAGGGATGGGTAATTTCTTTAGTTTCAAAGACATTTTCTTCAGAGGTTAGTTTAAAACCAGAGCTTTGACCTTGTGGTGAATTTAGATACATTGTATTTGCTCTAAAGTCAAGATAATGGCTTCATGTTTTTATAAAATAGAGTATTGGTCTGAATTAGTTGGGATTAGATGCTGATTTCTAGTCTGCTAATTATCTGTTTGAAAACTTAAAGTGCTTTGAAATATTTATTTTACTTAAAATTTACATTCTGGAATTTCCATCCCCTTTTTTAACTGCAACACATCTTTACAGCAGTTCCTGCTGGACAGATTTATGCTTCTCGGTATAAAACTTGATGCATGCCGTTTGCTGTGATTAGTTTGTATTTTTAAGCAGAACAGTTTGTTTGTGTTCGTGTTTTGAAAAGCCGTTTTGATGGTTCAGCTTTAGCCTCCTTAAATGCATTTCAAGTTAACCATCACAGAAAAACCTTACAGCGAAAATTATTTTCTTCAGAACACTGATAAAATGTTTTTATGTCCTTGCTGTCCAATTTTTCTTAATATCTGTGTCTGTTTCTCTTTTTTAGAGTACACCCAGCCTGGTTTCTTTCACTCTGTTAGTTTACAGCGTGGAACAGTGACTCCCTGGCAGCACGAAAATCAGGGGCCTCATATAAGCTCAGGGTAGGTCCTAAAGCTGGTGTTGGAAATGCAAAACATTTATCTTTATATATTTCTGTCAGCGTCTTCCTCCTTACTGTCAACCATTGCATCGTTCAAACAGCACCTTTCTTTAGGGATGTGAGTCTTTCACTGCAGAGATCCAGCTGCAGATGTGAAGGAACAACAGGGACAGTTTTGCAGTAGTTTAACTTATTAAACAGGTCTATTTTAAGGCGGACACCTTCACTAATAAAAGACTAACTGCTGTGATAGAAAGAGGAAATGATGTTTCAGCTTATCGAGCATTAACAGATTACAGTGGTGGTCAGAAATCTGTGATTAAAGTGAAACCAGAATCCATCTGAGCTCTTAGATAAGAAATTGCTTCTTCAGTAGTTTAGTGTTTTTGTGGTCCAGCATGGAGCAATACCCACAGCTGATACTAAGGTCTGAATCTGAGCTGATATAAAGGTATACATATCCAAATGTAAGATAAAAAAACAAAAACAACTAACAAGCAAGAAAAAAATAATATAGATTATAAACACTCTGTCTGTCTAGCTCTAGAGGTATTGATGAGCAGAGAAAAAAATAACAAAGTACAAAGTCCTTACTTAGACATTTTGGCTATCTATACTTTACTGGGATAAATACTTTTTAGACGACTCTTTACTTCTACTCCTTAATTTTATGAAAATATAGACTCATTAGTTTTCTTTCATTTAAGCTCATTTTTGTTATGGCCTTTGAAAAAAAACATCAAAATAATTTGTTTCATCCAGAAAATGTATTTCTTTGTGTTGGACTTGTTGCTGCCCCAACGTGTTGTTCCCCACATAGCAAAATGAATGTTTTGCCAAGATGATGCTTAGTTAAATTAGACATTGTTACTATTAGTTATAAAGATAAGAAAATGAAGTTTAAGGAAGTTATCATGCAGAATTGTAGAAACATTTTCCTTTAATAGGGTAGTGCAGTAAAGCTTCTGTTCTTAAAATTTTTTCCTGTATTATTTTTACTTTTACACTTTTACTTGAGTAAAAAGCTGAAATTGTTTCTTTGTCTTCTAAAAACGTGTTTTTAAACAGTAGGATTTATACTTCTACTTGAGTAATAAACATTAATATTTTTGACACCTTTGTTAGTGAGTAAAATTGTTTCCTTAAACTAATATTTTACTTGTCATTTGTAGGATGTCCAGTGGGGGGTGCTCCTTCCCGTCTCAGTCTTGCTCATCAAACTCTCCTCATCTGCCCTCCTTGAACCTCAGCATCAAATCAGAGCGAAGCTCTCCTGACCACATGTGCTCTCCAACCTCCCCTCGCCTGCACCACCTCAGGCAGCATTCTCCAACCAGCAACCCTGATTTAGCTCGACACACCCCTCCAGAGGCTCACTCGACCAATAGGACGAAGGAGCTTCCCAAAGCCGGATACCCGCAAGGTGGAGAGGAGAGAGGGCAGCCTCTCAGGCAGCTGGAGATGAGCGATGGTTGGCAGAGATAGTGGTCTGCCGCTCGCTGACACCACATCTAGTTCAGCAGCTCCCAACCAAAACAGGAGGGGTCCAGATGAACGTCCTCCTGAGGGACACCCTCCTCTGTCTCCTCTCACAGAGCTGGGCTCTACAGGGTGGAAAAGAAATCCCCCTTCCATCACTCACTTCATCCCATGAGGAGACAGATGCATAAGGAACTTTTTTTTTGTTTTCATTTTTCTGTGTTGAAAAAAAAAATTGCTTGGTTTATTTTTGTTTCTTCATTTTGCAGCTTTTTGAACATAGGTAGAACAACTGAAAGCCTGAAGATGATGCTGAAAATATATTCAGTATTTAAAACAGGCATTGCTTCTGAGTGGGAACTGATCCTATACATGCACTGCTCAAAAAATTAAAGGAACACTTTGAAAACACATCAGATCTCAATTGGGGAAAAAATAATGCTGTTTATTAATACTGATATGGACTGGGTGATGTGTTAGGAACAAAAGGATGCCACATCATTTGATGGAAATGAAAATATCAACCTACAGACGGCTGAATTTAAAGATACTCCAAAAATTACAGTGAAAAAATTATGCAGCAGGCTAGTCCATTTTGCTGAAATTTCATTGCCCCCACGTGCGTGTATGCATGCCTGACAACGTCGGGTCATGCACCTAATGAGACGACGGATGAAGTCCTGGGGTGTCTCCTCCCAAATCTAGACCAGGGCATCACTGAGCTCCTGGACAGTCTGAGGTGCAACCTGGCTACGTCAGATGGATGGAAACATAATGTCCCAGAGGTGTTCTATTGAATTTAGGTCAGGCGAGCGTGGGAGCCAATCAATGGTATCAATTCCTTCATTCTCCAGTAACTGCCTGCATACACTCGCCTCATTTGCATTGTCATGCAAAAGGAGGAACCCAGGCCCCACTGCACCAGCATAGGGTCTGACAATCGGTGGATTTCATCACGATATCTAATGGCAGTCAGGGTGTCGTTGTCTAGCCTGTATAGGTCTGTGCGTCCCTCCATGGATATGCCTCCCCAGACCATCACTGACTCACTACCAAACCGGTCATGCTGAACGATGTTACAGGCAGCATAACATTCTCTACAGCTTCTCCAGACCCTTTCATGTCTGTCACATGTGCTCAGGGTGAACCTGCTCTCATCTGTGAAAAGCAAAGGGCGCCAGTGGCGGACTTGCCAATTCCGGTGTTCTGTGGCAAATGCCAATCAAGCTCCACGGTGCCGGGCAGTGAGCACAGGGCCCACTAGAGGAAGTTGGGCCCTAAGGCCACCTTCGTGAAGTCTGTTTCTGATTGTTTGGTCAGAGACATTCACACCAGTGGCCTGCTGGAGGTCATTTTGTAGGGCTCTGGCAGTGCTCCTCCTGCTCCTCCTTGCACAAAGGAGCAGACACCGGTCCTGCTGATGGGTTGTAGACCTTCTACAGATTTCAGCTGAAACTGATTAACAACCCCCTCTGCTACTTACCTGACCAAATCAATATCCCTGAAGTTCAATTAACTTGATGCTATACTCTGATTACAAAGTGTTCCTTTAATTTTTTTCAGTCTATAAAAGTTATGGGGGGGAAAAATCACTCTACTAGAAATGCTCTTAGACTTCAGCGTGCAAAGACTCTGTTCTTTCTAAATCACCAGAATTAAGCATTTGTTCTTCCCACATCTCCTCTAAAAGAAACAGGCTTTAACAGCGACTCTAAATCACTACATATGAGGCCTGTAGAGGGTGTAATCAAACACACCTGCAGGGGAAAATGTTAACTAATTATCAACTAATTAGTCCAAATAAGGCAGTAAATTTATTGTAAAAAAAAAAAAGTGCAGGATGAGGCTTGATTGAAAAAATAAATAAGGCCTGAAAGTTTAAATGTCTTGATAAAAAACAGTCAAACAAAATGCAGCAAAGTAAGTTTATATGTGACAGAAAAAAAAAGATTATTCTCTTATATTAAATTTGCAAACTAATATTAAATTTGTACACACATTGAAAAAGAACAATGTTATATCATCTTAAGACTAAATGGGCCTGCCTTAGGTCTTTCCTTACTCCCAGGTTTAAGCTTTACTATTTTTTTTATCTCCTAATTAAATTTAAACTGCTCCTCGCAGGCCTTATGTTAGATGATGCAAATAAATATCCACATGGTCCTACACGCACAGAGGCAGCTCAGCTGATGTGGTGGAAAAGCATTACTTCAAATTAATATTTTATTCTTGCAGCATTATGTCACTGAAACTAAAATATATCCCTTTATCTGAGCATGTTTTGGGGAGGGTCTTCAGCTCGCCACTCAGGCTTCTGTCTGGTCAACACTTTGGGTTTACTCAGCTTTATGTCCTGGTAAGTTTAGATGTTGGTTTTTATGTTAAATCTGGTCGGTCCATCATAGTCTATAGTCCAGAAAATTGGGCTGTGTTTGGTTGGTCTGATTTTGTCCCAATAATAGACGTTTAAAATACAATGCAAACCCATCTATCGTCTTTTCAACAATCTGAAAATTGCAGCTTTTCACATTTTCAACCAAACATAGACGTTGTTTGGTCGTAAATTATATAATCTGTTCAACCAATGTTTGCTCGGTGGGCATGTCATCTAAAACAACCAGGCCCACAATACAGTACAGTGGATCCTCCACTGTACTGTATTGTTATTGGAGATGAGGTCCTTTTCCAAATATTCTGGATTTATTTTACAATCGATCAAAGCAGCATCGTTTCAGTGGAGAAAAACTTTTCCCTGACATTTCCTCCATAACATCAGTGTTATGGAATACCAATTATGTGTGGAATACCACACTATTTTTTGAAAGCCTTTTTCTTCCTTTTCTTCACCGTGGGTGGTGGGAGGAAATACCTGGAACTGCCCCCTTCCCTCATGGACCCCTTTCTCAAAACTGATCGCATCTAAAAAGCAAAGTTTTGTGACATTTTTAAGATATGTTGGGGAATCTGAGTCTCCTAGATTAAATTTAAAACAATCATTTCCAGATCTTTACTAAATTTCACCCGGAGAAAATGAAGGTTTTATTTAAAGATGAATGTTTTTTGTTTTTTTTCCCAAGGTCATGAATAATTTATATGGATGATGCTGCTTCATTTAACGAATGATCCAATAAGGCTTAGCTCCTGTCTCTCTTTCACCCGCTCTTCATGTCGATATTTCTCGCTGCTCTGCTCATAGAAACGTGAGAATCTAAATAAAAAACTTTACATTCACTTGTGCTGCTTTTTATATCTGCTTATGGTTTATTATTGCAAAATAAACTGCTTGATGTGACAAAATAAGGTCAGGACATTTCCAGATCTTGTCCTGCAGGGGGCGATATTATGTTACACTATAGCTGCTGTAGGCTTTCTGCTATTGCCATTGGTTATTTGAGGATCTGATCAAACTGCTTCAGACTGATCAAACCCCCTCATAAGATTATTTAGTTGTTGTTTTTTTTTAAGACATCCTCATCCAGCTGTGGAGTTAGCTTTATTCTCGTTTAATGCTTTTATTAGAAATGTTTTTATCAGTACTGGGTCTTATTGTTACTTAGATTCTTTTTCCTAAGGTTTGTGGAGTTCCTCTCTAGTAAAAAAAGAGACAGGTTTTTATTTGATGTTTCTTGTGAATCCTTTGAAATAAAAACATTTTAATTTGTAGCTGTCAGTCCTGGTTTCTTTAAGCAGATAACTATGGAAGGTAAAATGTGATTCTGTTGAAAGTTTTCTACGTCTGAAGGCCGATAAAAGGGGCATTTATTCTGCACCTTTTAAGTTTGTTTTTTTCTCCTCTTTACCTGGTTTCTGTTTATTTGAACCCACATGCAAACAGGCTCCCTCATTATCATGTCAGGGCTGTCACACTGTTCAATACGCAGAGGAGAGCCAGAAGAGCCTTCCTAAAAGCCTGGAGGCTTTTTGTCTGGGTAAAAGAAAATACATCTAAAATTGTTCTGTTTAAAAGGTTTATTTCCACTGCTGGTCGTTCTAAGAGGATGACGGTACATTTTAGAGCATTTGCTTTAAGTCACTATAGAATAGCTGCTACCAGCAGAGATCAACTCTGTCGTCTTCCCTCCAAAATCCAAGAGACTTTCACCAGGGTCATGTCTGGTCTCCTCCCAGGAGAGCAGCTCAGCTCAGTCTGCAGGGCATGTCTGGGTCCTCTGCAAACACATGCACAGGAAATCACTATGGCAACCATAGCCAGCTGTAGTGAGAAGCTGCAGCTCAGAGAAGAGTCTAAAAGTAAGCTGAGGCCTTTTGCTCCAATGCAGAATCCTCCATCAGCTCATTAACCGGAGCCAGAAACCCAGACTTCTCATGTTAATGATTACAAATATGATCCATGATCAGTTTATCTAACTGCAGCTCAAGAGTCTCCAGTTTGTCAGTATTTTCAATTAAATAATGGGAATCCAACAAAATGACCAGAAAATTTATAAAAGTGCTGAAATTCAGATTCTTTATATTTCCTATATTTTCACATTCCAAAATTTTGATTACACTGCATCAACTCCTTCAAAATGACGCCCATTTGAATAATCAAACCTTCTTCTTTCACATAAAATCCATTTCTGAATCCCAACCCTTCTTTCCTCTGCCTAACCGAATATTTGCCACAGCTAAAATGAGCTAATGTTTCCAGACTGTTCAGGGGCCTTAGGTTCATAGTCATCATCAGTGATTAAGGTATGATCCTCTGGAGGCCGGGGTCAGAGGTCAGGACACTTCAACCAGACACTCATTTGTTATGGGTGATCCCTTCTGTCCAATGGGGCACCGGTCCCAGAAAAGAAATCTCCCGACACAAAGCAGAACAAAGTGAGAACGACTGCATTTTATAAAATTATGTTTTCTTTAATAGGCTGAAGACCAAAAAAATGCATCCAGAAACATCTTCATATAAACTTCACAGTACAACGATTTCTAGATGATGTCAAAATAAAGACAAATCAGTTCCAAAACATCAAAAACTGTACCTATTTCTAAAGTAAAAAGTATTTAATGCGAGAGAAATAAAAAGCAATCCATCCAATATCTAAAATGTTTCACCCGTCTAGTGTTGAAATAAAACCAAATGTGTTTACATTGACAAACAAACAGGGAGAGTTTGAAGAGACTGATGATCCCTGAGCTCTCAGGCACTTCGGTTAAAACAAAGAAACTCTTCAGTGTTTTGGCCTTCAGGCACAAATATAAACCAAGTTTGTTTTGCCTGAACTCAACATTTTCAACATCCATGCAAAAAAACTCAAAAACTGCAAGAAAATAAACGGTTAGCACTCTGAAATCGGTTCTTTAAGGGAAACGGAGTCCCTTAAGCAAAATATCTCCTCTTCCAAATTGGAAGTACAAAAACCTGCATTAGTCCCATTAAATACTTGAAGATCAGCAGATCTTTCCATAAAACACTGTTTCAGACGCTAGACTAAAGCTGCAGCAGAAGCTCCTTCAATGTAGCTGGGGATGGTAGGCCTGTACAGGAAAGTGTGAGAAGGTTAGCTGCTCAGTCCGCTATGACGACGGTAGCAGATCAGATTCAGAACTATTAATCACTGTGTTTAAAATAAGAAAACTAAATTCTTTAAAGCCATTTAGAGCAGCAACAGCAGGTTTTTTTTCTGGGTTCACAGACATATCAGGTAAGAAAATAGCACATCACATTATAAAAACAAAGCAACCAAAGCAGTTTTATGATTAACTGCCACTCTCATAAGCCTATGCTAATTAACATTACCAGATTCTCCGGTTTTCAATGTCTGTTGGGTTAAAAAAAAAAAAAAAAGGTAAAACATTGATATTAATTACCATACTAAAAGGCAACTATGTCCATGCAAGCTGGAGTTCATGCATCAAATTTTCTAGATAAAAAAAGGGAAAACAATGCAGTGATAGAAAGAAAATGGCTGATTTTAAGACTATTTATTGAACATGATCTGATCATTAACTCTTTTTGAGATCAAGGGATACTTTGTTGATTCAGAGTACAATTTAGCTTTGTGATTAGGACTTTCAAACCAAATCTAAATCCTCTTCACTAAGTAAAAAGACTTGAATCCTGAGCTGGTTTCTTCAGTTCAGGGTTGCTCCATTTCTTACTCTTGGCCTTACGATGCACAGAATAGTGTCTGATGTTGTAACATTAGAATACTTAACTTTACAATAACAATGAAACCAGTTTTAAATATAAAGGCATTAGAAGTTTTTTTACATTGAAAAATATGTCTTTGCAAGAATAACATCAGCATCTATAGTTATGCTGCTATAGGCTTACACTGCTGGAGGACATAGGACCCCTTTTCATCTTTCTGCTTCATTCTTTCACTATTTTCCCATTCTGAAGTATTTCTTAGTTCAATCTCTAACATTATGCTCTCTCTGTTTTTTCTCATTATAGTAGCTTCATCTGGTCTGTTCCTGTTTGGCTGTGACTCCATTTTGGAGAGAAATATCAGCTGTGCTGCTGCCATCAACACCTTTGTTTATAAATGATGGAGCTTGGCCTGTTTTTTAGTGTAGTCCTGATTCACTGACTGTTGCTAACTGTATGTGCTCTCTGCATCCTCTGATATGGGAGCTGGCTCGGAGCTCGTCTGCGTGGCTGTGTGTTTCCTGGACGGGGCCGCCTGTGGAGCTGGTTTACAGTTGCCTTTTGTATCTATGCTTCTTTTTCTATGTCTGCTTCTGTCTCCTTGAATCACAGTGGGCCTCGGCAGATGGCCGCTCAAACTGAGCCTGGTTCTGCTGGAGGTTTCTTCCTGTTAAAATTTAGTTTATCCTCTCCACTGTCGCTACAAGCAGGCTTGGTGTGAGGGATTACCTTCGAGTTAATGCAATCAGCTGGTTATCATTAGATAGAAAACTTTGAACGAATCTGACAACATGATCTTGTTGAATTGTCTCTGTAAAGTGCCTTGAGGTGAAATGTGTTGTGAATTGGTGCAATATAAATAAACTGAATTGAATTTATTGCCATTAGGCTGAAAAAAAATCCTTTCCCCTTTAAGTGATCCAACTACTTTTCAGCATAAATATTGGCCTTATCTACTGAGGTCAGCTCTTTTCTGTATGATAGAGTTTAATGTTTTTATTTTTATTTTAGCATATAAACAAAAATAAATATTATGAACACTGTAATTAAGTTAAATTCTACATACCATATAGTTATGTTATTTTATTCAGGGTAAAGGCCTTCTTGAAGTTGCCACATTTTATCTATTAGGAAAAGAAGGTAAAAACTGTATTTGATTAGTAAAGTAACCTCTGAGGTGCATAAATTTATAGCTCTTTCATTAAATGAGCTAAGATTGTTTTCCCACCGCTTTGAATTGGGTTAAAAAGGGAGGAAACATGAAAGTATTCCTCCAAATGCCCAAATGATTCTTCCTTTACTAAATCTGCCGCTACAAAATAAATGCATGATAAACAAGCTTTCTTTGTAATAAAAGCTCCAGTTCCTTCAGTATATTTGCACGTCTGATGCTGGAAGCCTGCTGGTCGATACAGCAAAGTTTTCCAAAAACCACAGTCAGTCTGTGGTTCTGGCTTCTTGTCACTTGCCCCTTTTTCTGTCTGCAGGCATCCAGTCCAGCAGCATCTTTTACACGGAGAGCTTGGTGTGATTTGCAGAGACATGCATCCTGTCCTCCAGGTTCTTCAGTTCTGCATCAGGTACTGATGGAAGTAGATGCCAAACAGGGAGCTGATCACTTGGCAGGCAGCCACCCACCAAGTGAGAAAGGCAAAGAGACCACGCAGAAATATAGGAGTGAGGACAGACCGCAGCGCAGCGAACGCCTCCAGAAGATGTGCTACGGTGGCCTGGATGTCCTCCTCCATGTCTTCCATCCCTTCTTCGTCCTCATCCAGACCACCGGACGCTACAGGCGCTGCTGTGGGGAGGACCAGCGCTGGCGTCACTCCCGGAGTTTCCTCGTTATCAAAACACCAGGAGTAGTTCCCTAGAAAATAAAGTCAGAGCGTAAAAAAAAAGGAGTCATCTACTAATGTTCATTACTCAAGTAGATGCATACCTCCTTTTGTTTAAAAACACTGTAATAGAAGTTAGAGCATCAACTTAAGCTTTTTAACAAAGTAAAAGTGTAAATCTACCATTTTTTAAAACTACTTAAAATATCAAAGTAAAAGTAATACAGGAAATAATGTTAGGAATAGATTCTTTCAACCTCATACAGGTTACTGCACTACTCTATTAAAGGAACATTTTCTACAATTCTGGATAACTTCCTTAGACTTAATTTTCTTCGTTATACATTTTTGTAACTAATGGTAACAGTATCAAATTTAACTTTGCATTATCTTGAAAAACCTATTTATTTTGTATATGTAGTGAACAACAAGTTGGGGCAGCACCAAGTCCAACCACAAAGAAATTAACTATCTGAATGAAACGTATTATTTTGATGGTTTTTAATTGTTTTAAGTACAAACAGATGATAAAGAAAATAGGCTTAAGTGAAACAAAACTAAAAAGTCTGTTTTTAAAATGTAAAGAGTAGAAAGTGGAGATAATTTCAAAAAAATTTAAAGCCAGACATATCGTACAATTGTTTGCCTTTTTCGGGCCGATTTTTCAGTTCCGATCAGGAATCGTAAGTTCAGGAAAAAAAATTAAAATGTTTTAGATTCAGTCGGTCGTCGTGACATGTTTGTAGGTAAACCCTGCTGTTGAAGCAGAGCTACGGGCCGATTTACAAGAACCTCAAGCACTGCGCATGCGCAAACAAGGGAGTCCTTCTTCTTCTTCTCCCAGATTGACAAGTCCGACCAGCGCCATCTCTCAGCGCTGAGTCCAATGTGAGGTTTTTGGATGTGCAGTGTGAGCAGGTAGATCACATGAGAGCGTTGGCCACAGTGTGAGAACATGCATTGCGAGCTGTGAACTTATAAACTCTGTGGTTTGGTTGTACAGTATGAGCTGTAGCCGAGTACGATGAAAATATCACACACTGTATGTCCAGCTTAAGGAGTAGATATAAAAAGTTATCTAAAAATGATTAATCCACTAAAGTACAGAAAATTACTACTTAAGTAAACATAAAGTAATTGTTACTTAACACCTCTGCTTAGAAACAGTCACGATGTTGAATTAACAAGTGAGCATGAAAGGCCTTTTTCAGAGGCCGTATTTTACCTACCAAGCACCTTCAGCGCCAAAGTGGAGAAGAGGATGAGCAGAATAGGAACTAAATACTGGAGTGTAACCACAGATAGGTAGCAAAACACTCGTGTGACCTGAAATAAAGAAAAAATATTTCATGAAGAGGGAAGCAAAAGTAAACACTTCACTTTACTAATGATTGAGAACAAGCAGTGACCTTCCTCTGGATATCAATGGCAGCAATACGTCCCGCCTCCTTCCTCATCTGCTCCACCCACTTCTGAGCCAGGTTCAGGTAGGCCTGCAGGTGGTACCGGGTCAGTCCCAGCCGCAGCACACACAGCGCCACGATGATCCACAGTCGCACGCTGTCAAATGCTTCACTGCTCACACTGCAACAGGAAGGAGGTAACATTTCTTACTATTCACCGCCTCCATCAGGAGGATCGACCACAGCTGTTCACTTACAGAGTGACAGAAGTCTTTCCCATCGGTGCATTGGCCAAAAAGTCTCTAGCAATTGGTTTCACCCACAGAACCAACACGACCACAGGAGATAAGAAACTCAGGTGAAGCAGAATCCTGCAGAAGGACATTAGAGCAATCAGGTAAACCCTGCAGCTGTAAGAAGAGTTAAAGGCTGTTTTTTTGTATAAGAGTTCTTACTGGATGAGCGGGCGATCAGAGTTCATCTGTACAGCATCTAGATGGGTCTGGGCCAGCCTGAGTCCAGGGAAGGCCAGGAGGGAACCAATGTAAGCGCAGACAGCAGCCAAGCCCAGCTTCACGCTCAGCTTAGTCACTGGGATTCTGTTATGGAAACAGCCAGAGGATGGCGTCCTTTAAACCGTCTCACATCTAGACAGGCCAGTTCTCTGCTAAAACACTGCAGGTGCTTTGCCTCCATGCACAGATACTCACGACCAATCGGCATAGCCCTGCTGTTTAGCAAATGTTTCCAGGTTGTCAAACAGGTTGGAGAAGCCGGACTCCAGTCCAAACTCCAGGTAGTCCTCCCTGACCACCAGCACCAGCATCGCCACTAGCAGAGACAGGAAACCAAAGGCGAGACACACGGAGCGCTCGCCGCCTTCCTCCGAGCGGAAGTAGTGACTCATGAGAGTCTGAAGGGCCTTTCTGAAGGTTAATGGTTAAAGAGGAGCAAACAGGTGGACTTGATTCCATGAATAGGTCACCGTGTCGCTTCTAGGGCTGCAACTGATGATTATTTTGCAAATCCATTTATCTGTCAATTATTTTTTTGATTAAGCCATTAATAATCAGATAACCAACAGTTCCTTAAAGAATACTTTTTACAAACTGAAACCATTCGAAACTAAATCTCTTCCACTTGAGGAGTTCTGAATAGAGCAGATCTACACACTAAAGTTTTTTTTTTTCTTAAAATGCAAAATATTTATATTTTTACAATTTTGGTATAATTACTGCTCTAAGTGTGTTTCTCTGTCAGATAAAGGCCTGTTTTAGAGTTTACATACTCCAATTACTAAATTAGTTGATGATTATTGAAATAATTGATTAATCATGATTAATCCGATTAATTGTTTCAGTCCTAGATGCTTCACATTTTTATTTCAAGAATCTAAACTAAAACTTAAAACCCTTTAAATACTCAGTTATCTTAGGAGACATTTTTAAGGAAGACACACAGATGGACACGTTACCTTTACAGAAAGCGCTAAATAAAACACTGCAAATAAAAGAAATCTAAAAATGCTCCATTCTTAGAAAACATTTTACAGGGTTCCTACGGCGTGAGGGAAGTTCAATTTAAGACTTTTTAATGGCACTTGAAATAAAAAGTTAAGACTAATTTAAAGGAATAGTACACCCAAAACATGATTAGCCTTCATTTTCTACTCACCCCCATGCTGAACAACACTCTGGAGTACTTTTTTGATATCTCAAATGCATCTGGAGATCTGGGAGGCTTCTTGCTGTCTGCTGACATTCAAATAATGGAGGGTATGGTGCCCAAGGCAGAAAGGTCCATAAAAGTCCACAAAAAACATGTCAATATTCCTCCATACTGCTCGTCCAATGTATTCCAAGTGTCCTGAGTGGGTAGCATCCATAATTTACTCAAAACGAAGTCATTTAGAATGTTTTTAGAGCATAAACAGTAGTGTATAGGATTTCCTAAAAGCGTGTTCACGAGTCTATGGAAACCGCGGCAGACCAAACCAGATGAAAGTGCGCATTCAGCTCGGCAAAGAACTCGTGCTCTTCCTCAACACTGAAGTCCTCAGACATTTTTCTTTCGTTGTTTCTTCTTTGCACAGGTAAACAGCACATTTCTTCTTCTACGCTTGCATTATCGGCAGAGCAGACGCTGAATGCGCACTTTCATCTGGTTTGGTCTGCCGCGGTTTCCGTAGACTCGTGAACGCGCTTTTAGAAAATCCTATACACTACTGTTTATGCTCTAAAAACATTCTAAATGACTTCATTTCGAGTAAATTCTGGATGCTACCCACTCAGGACACTTGGAATACATTGGACGAGCAGTATGGAGGAATATTGACACGTTTTTTGTGGACTTTTATGGACCTTTCTGCCTCGGGCGCCATAGACCTCCATTATTTGAATGTCAGCAATTCAATTCAATTCAGTTTATTTATATAGCGCCAAATTCACAACACATGTCATCTCAAGGCACTTTACAGTTCAACCAGATCAAATTGATACAAAGTTTTCTATCTAAGGAAAACCAGTTGATTGCATTGACTCATTGACTCAAATACAATCCCCCACACTAAGCATGCTTGTAGCGACAGTGGAGAGGAAAAACTCCCTTTTAACAGGAAGAAACCTCCAGCAGAACCAGGCTCAGTGTGAGCGGCCATCTGCCGAGGCCGACTGGGGTTCAAGGAGACAGAAGCAGAGATACAAAAAGCAGCTGTAAAAGGCGGCCCCGTCCAGGAAACACACAGCCAGGCAGACGAGCTCCAAGGCAGCTCCCATGCCAGAGGACGAAGAAAGCACATCCACTCAGTCACGGTCAGAGAAACAGGACCACACTGGAAAACAGGCCGATCTCCAACATCTATAAACAAGGGTGTTGATAGAAGCAGCACAGCTGATGTTTCTTTCCAGGATGACGTCACAGCCAAACAGGAACAGACGAGGCAAAGCTACTCTGAGGAAAAGCAGAGAGAGCAGAAGGTTAGAGATTGAACTAACAGATTCTGCAGAATAGGAGAACAGAGAGAGAATGAAGCAGAATGATGAAATGGGGGTCCCTATGTCCTCCAAAAGTCTAAGCCTATAGCAGCATAACTATATAGATAGCTCAGGATAACCTGAGCCACTCTAACTATAAGCTTTATCAAAAAGGAAAGTTTTAAGCCTAGCCTTAAAAGTAGACAGGGTGTCTGCCTCACGGACTAAAACTGGTAGTTGGTTCCACAGGAGAGGAGCCTGATAACTAAAAGATCTGCCTCCCATTCTACTTTTAGAAATTCTAGGAACCACTAGTAAACCTGCAGATTGAGAGCGAAGTGCTCTGTTAGGAACATAAGGAACAATCAGATCTCTGATATAAGATGGAGCTTGGCCATTTAAGGCTTTATATGTGAGAAGGAGGATTTTAAATTCTATTCTTGATTTAACAGGAAGCCAATGAAGAGAAGCCAGGATAGGCGAGATATGATCTCTCTTTTTAATTTTCATTAGAACTCTGGCTGCAGCATTTTGGATCAGCTGAAGGCTTTTAACTACAGTTTGTGGACTTCCTGATAGTAAAGAATTACAATAGTCCAGCCTTGAAGTAACAAATGCATGGACTAGTTTCTCAGCATCACCCCTGGACAGGATATTTCTAATTTTTGCAATGTTCCTCAGATGAAAGAAGGAAATTCTAGAAACCTCCTTGATATGGGATTTAAATGACAGGTCCTGATCAAAAACAACACCAAGATTTTTTACTTTATTATCTGAAATCAGTTTAATCCCATCCAAATGAAGTGACTGGCTAATCAGTTTCTTTTTCAGAGACTCTGGTCCAAAGACTATAACTTCTGTTTTGTCTGCATTCAGAAGCAGAAAGTTAAGAGTCATCCAGGTTTTTATGTCTTCAAGACATGCCTGTAATCTATGTAATGGGTTAGCTTCATCTGGATTTATAGACAGATATAGCTGGGTATCATCAGCATAACAGTGGAAATTAATCCCATGCTGTCTAATAATTCTACCAATTGGGAGCATGTATAAAGTAAAGAGAATTGGTCCTAGCACTGATCCCTGTGGTACTCCACAGGTAACCTTTGAGCGTGTTGAAGATCTATCATTAACATGAACAAACTGAATTCGATCAGATAGATAAGATTTAAACCAGTCTAGTGCTGTTCCTTTAATTCCAACAAAATATTCAAGTCTTTCTAAAAGAATATTATGGTCAACTGTATCAAATGCAGCACTAAGATCCAACAGGACGAGCACAGATACAAGTCCATTATCTGAGGCCATGAGAATATCATTAGTGACTTTCACCAGAGCTGTTTCAGTGCTATGATGAGCTCTAAAGCCAGACTGAAACTCTTCAAAAAGTTCATTATGGTGGAAGTGATCGCAAACTTGTTTGGCAACTACTTTCTCAAGAATTTTGGATAAGAAAGGAAGATTGGATATAGGTCTATAATTGACCAAGTCATCTGGGTCAAGAGACGGTTTCTTAAGCAGAGGTTTAATTACAGCAACCTTAAAAGCTTTAGGTACATATCCCTGTAACAGAGATAGATTAATCACATCTAAAATGGAGGAGGAGATCAAAGGGAATACCTCCTTAAATAACCTGGTTGGAACTGGATCTAACATACAAGTTGAAGGCTTAGATGAAGACAATAAGTCTAACAAGAAGCCTCCCAGATCTCCAGATGCATTTGAGATATCAAAAAAGTACTCCAGAGTGTTGTTCAGCATGGGGGTGAGTAGAAAATGAAGGCTAACCATGTTTTGGGTGTACTATTCCTTTAACAATAAACACAAGAAAAACCGAGTAGCAACAAATTTATCTGAATGTGTATTTTAACATAAAAAATTACTTTCTGGCTCTGTAGAAATGTTTCAAATTTTGAAAAACTCCAGAGATTTGGTGCTAATGGCGCTGTTGTTGATGTGGGGGACGCAGTGTAGGCTTTGCAGAGACAAGGGAGGAACAGACCTGAGAAATACCTGCTGCTTCTCTGTAACTTCATTTTGATGCTTTTGCCGAGTTTTAATTCAGCAGCTCCGTCCTCCAAAAGACAGATTTGTCGCCAGATTCCGTCGCAGCCCAGCTATTGAATCAAATATTTGGCAGGAAATGTTTGGTTTATTAAAAAAGGTTTTATCTGTCTATGTGTAAACGGGTTTAGCTGACATTTAAGCTCAGATTCCAATATCTCTGCAGTGTGGGGACTATATGATATGAACGACGACCGTACAGCTGCTGAAGCTCCTCGAAAATGTTATTAGCACACAGAACAATAGTGAGAAGTAAAGTATCCATTCTTTGCCTGCTTTGTGTGTCAACTATAATGGTTGCTAGGCGATAGGCGTACATGCGGTGAAATGTGGAGAAGGCTGGACCTGTTGAAATCCATAGCCAAAACTCTTTCAGCCTCCTTATTTTCAAGGTTCTTGGAGGACGCAGCATCTGAAATCAAACACATCCGTAGTTTTTCACGCTTCACACGTGTTATTCCACTGCCTTGATTCACATCGTGCTTCATCTACATTCCCCAGTCCTGATTTTATTCATGCAGAAATCTCTTGGCTGGACAGACAGTTTTTTAAATTCCCCACGTTGTCCAGTGAAAAAGTTAGTGCCGCATCACCCCAATGTCTGGCCGAAACTTCAATTTTATTGGTTCTGCTATCGGGACAGAATCAATAAAGGTTCCAGTGAGCCATTCAGTAAATTATAAAAATATTATTGTCAGTTATTTTAATGTTTGATATGGATTACAAAATTAAAATCCTATTTATGATGACCTGTCAGAGTCTGATTTAAGATCTAAAGCCTTAATTTTATATTGAAAAAAATGAAATGCCTTTTAAGACTTTTTTAGGATCTGCAGGAACCCTGTCACACATCTTCTTATCTCTGTCACATATTCTAAAAGAAATATAAAACCTTCGATGCACCTTTGTTTCCACTGCCATCCATCATGTGCAGCTTTTGGAGCAAATTCAGCTGTTTTGTCATATTTATCAATTATGTTGCAGAAGGATACAGCCCAAAGAGAACGGTTAGGACGCACCAGATGGCTCCGATATTAACCTCTTTACTGGCATCTATTACACTGTAGTAACCCTCAGTGAACAGGAAGACACCCAGTGCATAAACAGCAAAATCTACGAGCCACTGGTACTCCAAGAAAAAACGCAGCACTGTCAACAGAAATCGCATAAAAACAGATGTTAGAAAGCATTTTACAAATTATACATAAGTAAGAAAGTTAGTGTTAAAATTTGCACAGCATCCCTGTGATGGATATAAAGGAATATTTATGTACCGAGAGCATCCATCACATTGACTGGAGCCTTCTCCAGCTGAAGGTCAATGTCTTTAGGCACTGTGATAGGTTTGTTCTCCCCGTTCTGTCTCCTATGAAACAAGAAAGGGCAAAAATGACTAAGTAAACATTTTATAAAAGTAGAAAACCATAAAACAACTATTTGGGGTTTTCAGCTCTAAACGTCACATTGGTGGGCTCAGATGTACGAGTGGTACAGTCAAAATGCAGGGTTTTATCGTACAGATATCGATCTATGTTCTCAAACTGTGCAACCCGACGCTTCTAATGCGACCTGCTCACACTGTACGTTTATAAACCACATCTAACTCAGCACCGCAGTGAGATGCCGCTACTCAGATACGTCTATCCGGAAGCCATGAATAGGAATATAAAGCTCACTAGAGTGAAACGACCTGCTATGGGAATTTGTGCAATTTTGTGCTGAAAGCCTTTAAAAGAAAAGGCAACGACGTATTTGGACAAAGACACGGCTGAGCGAACTTGGCTACTACAGTCTGTCAATTTTACAGACTGAACTCCATTTCACTCATTGCACCCCACCATGATTCTGTGTTTTCGTCTGAGAGGAAGAAGAAGAATCATAGTTTGTGTATGCGCACTGAGCGATTTGCCCACGACCACCTTACGACGGCCAACTGGATTTCAAACATGTTTGATTTTCTCCAGAACTCACAATTCCTGATCCAAGAGGTGGTCGTGAGAGGCTGATTGACCGTCGTTATCCCGTGTACACAATACGACGCACCAAAAAATCTGGCATGACTGGAAATCGTACGGTGTATGCCCGGCTTTGCAGGTCAGCAGGCTTTTAGGTTGCAAAGCGTACAGGCAAACACTGTACGCCCTTTACTAAAAATATCTGAAATTGTACACCCTGTTTTTGGGATGTACAGCTTTGGTATGCCCTAATTTTCCTTTGAAATACGATGGAACAAGCACGCTGCACTATTAGCAAGCAGGTAAGCTTGAAACTTTGAAAAGTTTTTGAAAACTCATCGAATGCCTGACAACTATAAGATTATTTTAGAGGATTTTTTTTTTGTTCTTTGGGACAATAATGTCCGTGTAATGGGGGAAAACAACAGCAAACTTGAATGACAGATGGGGGGGGGGGTGGGGGGTTGTGGAGTCGATACAAAATCCGTAGCAAATTTCAAGTAGATGCCGTGATTTTTTTCATGTTTCTTACAGACAATTGGAGTATTTATTTCCATAAGATCGACAATCGGAGGTTGTTTTTGGATAACGGTGAGCTTATTTTGCACTTTTTACAACTGGTATAACTGTCCTTTTTCTGTGACTCATCAGCTGACATTTACAAAATGTACTAAAATACATGAAAATGTGACGAGCTCCAGATTAGTTTTAGTATCAGCTGTATTCTTAAAGAAATAAAAGCAGCCCTGGTTGTACTTTCTCCTCTGTTGGTTTGCAGATTGTGTTGTAGTATTTGTAGACTGTTTTTTTGTTGACTGTTTTTCAAGTTGTTCAACTTGTTGCATATGTATGAATCAAGTTCAAGTTTTAATAATTAAGTTTTACCATTAGCAATAAGTTCAAGTTACACTTTCTGATTGTTTGAATTAACCTATGAAACAAAAAAAAATATCTCATGACTTCCTTATGAAATTTCCACCTCTTGTCAAGAACACATACTTCCCATTATCAAGACAAAAATAGAGTTTGAACAAAGACAAAAAGTTAGCTGCAATCCACCTCAAAATGCTGGTAATAGTGTTTCAGAGAGTCTAAGTTTCAAAATGCACTCATTGCAAAGCCTAAATATGTAATACACCAAGCTGTACACCCTATGAAATATTCCTAGCTAAAAGCCTGCAGGTGAGCTGGTTTTATTGCAGAAGAGGCAAAGGTTTTAAAGAGAAAAAATATCTCTTACCGGTCTCTTCTGTTTTGCTTGGGCATCTGTTTTCCTGCTAGCGCACACAGTTCTCCCTCTGAGGGGTGTTTGAAACGGAACAAACTGGGGGGAACACACTAAGTTAGCACAGTAAATACCAGAGGTGCATAGTGGTAGTTGAGGGAGACATTACCTGCCGTTGCAGAGGAGCCATCGTGCAAATGAGCAGTGTGGAGCCAACCTTTGCATGATGCTGGCAGCCAGCAAGCTGACCACCAGCTGAATCCCCATCAGAGCCTGTAAAATGAGCAAAGCACACAGTGACTATCTGAACCAGGAGCCTCGTGAACAGTAAGCCTAAATTTGTGATTACACCATCAGCTCTACTGTTCACTAAAAAACTATTTTCTATATTACAACAAATGAAATAGATAAAATTCAAATATTCACGTGCTTCATTAAATTTTTTTTGGCCAGTGATAATATACAAACTTTGTTCTCACTTAACTGTTTGATTTACGTAACACCAGAGATAATTAATTTTTTAATAGATTTTTGTGTTTGTAACTACCCACATGTATTTGGTACAGGGCTGCCTTAATCTGTTTAATTTTTTTCAATTAATCGAGTAATAATCTGATAGCCAAGGTTCCTTAAAGAAGAATTTTTACCAAACTAAACCAGGTTAAAGTAAAACTTTCCCAATTGAGGAGTTCTGGGTAGAGCATACTGACGGACAGAGACTTTTTTTTTCATCTCAAATGCAAAATGTTTATACATATTTTTACAATTTTGGTATAATAACTGCTCTAAGGGGGTCGCTCTTTAAGCTGAAGGCACTTCTAACAGTCTCTATTTTCCAGTTAAGGATTAATCGTTTACTGAATTAGTTGACGACTATTTAAATTATCGATTGTTTCAGCCCTGATTTGTTAACTCACAAAACTCCTCTTTTCTAAAGAACATTTTCATACCTAAATATTACAGATTTTCAACAACTTCGACATCGGTTAACATAATCTTAGTAAATCCATAATGTGGTTTTATTCACTTAGAGGAAAAACAACCTGCTCCTGTCAGTTAGGTGACCCAGCTAATGTCTGCAGGACTGAAAGGTTGAACTCCTGGATGATGCGTTCATGTGCCTTTGGAGTCATTTTGTTTGGCCTCCCAGAAAGCTTTAATCAACTGATCTGACAAGTCTAGATGACGTGCTAATACATCTCGCACAAACGTTATGATTCAACAATCGTGAGAGAGTTACCATTGATATCAGGATGAGCCTATAATGCTTGATTTCAAAAGTATTAAAGAAAAAGTCCCTTTTGCGGAAAAGGATGTCTGAAGTCGTTCTTCAACCAGAGTCACATTTAAACTGAGTAGAGACTGATGATGCAGGCTTTATTTTAACCCCTGAAAAATCACAACATTCATTAAAAACTTTTTAACGAGATGACGATCCTATAAAACAGACACTGCATGAGCTGAAAGGCCATTGGGAAATGAATGAAACTCAGCAGATGTCTGCCCAGCTAAATTTAACCTAACTCCAGCACCTGTCAGGCTGCTGCAAGCCTCCCTTAGCATCAGCTAAATGGCTAAATGCTGGCTACAAGTTCATACAGCGATATGTTAGTCAAACTATTACAGACGGCGGAGTGGGTGTAGATATATTTACCATATCCTCTGTTTTAAAAAAAACGATGAAAGAAACAGAGCTGTATCAGGAGCTTTTGTATCTGCCGCACAGTTTACAGCTGAACCAACCTACATGTGAGACTGCTAACTGACCCGGATGTAGATACGGGTTCCGAGTTAACTTCAGGTACTTCAATAAACGAAGTAAATTCGAGTTTCTGAAAGAATACGAAACAAGTCACGTGTATCAATTTCGATTTCTGGTAACAATAACATCATTACAGGCTAATATAACCATAAGAAACATCTAAAAAACAGTCTATTTATCCTGACGCTTTTTAAAACTACCACAGCCTCTTTTAAAATAACTATTTTTTTATTATATGCGTTTTTTTTGTTTGTTTTTTTTTTTAGATAACGCATCCCCTTTATATTATGCATTAATAAAAACGGCAAACCTTATGCTTGTGTTTTTAAGATTTATAATGTTAAGGATATGATAATTATGCATGGAAAATACAAACATCCGAGCTAAAGCTAAATATTTCTGATTGTCTTGAAAGGCACCACAGTGAGCTGGGACTCTGCGCACTTCTCTGCCTGATATGACCTTAAACAGGGATACGAGGTTTTAAAAATAGAATTTAGAAATTTTGTGACCAAAAGCATATTATTGCTTTTTTGTTATAAAAACAAATTGTAACACCTGATATATCAACATGTTTATATATCTAGTATTTAAAGTATCAAGCAAAAATTTACTTTATTAAAGAGAACAAAGTACTACTACATTACAATTTTAATAAACAGTGACCAACAACAGAAGAAACAAGCAAAACAAAAAGCGTCACAATGTTGTCTCATTGACAAAATGATGACTGAACAGATGTTCACCTCTTTTAAAATGTACTTGATTACAGTTCATTTGTGTATTTAAAATAAATAATTCTAATTAAACAATTCTAAGTCTTTTTTCCTCACAGCTTAGCAGGGGTGTCAAAAGTACACACATTTGTTACTTAAGTAGAAGTATAGATACTGCAGTATAAAAACACTCTGGTAAAAGCTGAAGTATCAACTTGACCTCTTTACTGAAGTAAAAGTGAAAAAGTATGTGCTCCAAAAACTACTTAAAGTATAAAAGTATAAAGTAACCTTTAAAAAAACAGCCAGATGCCACTATATGAATTGAAATCTAAATTTTTCGACTATCTTGAAAATTTCTTTGAGATAGGACCAAGGATGAGGGAGGTCTGGTTGGTCTCCGTCTCCATCTCCCGATACGCTCTCGCCTGTGTCCGACCTTTCAGACATTTCAACATCTTTTTCTGAATGCGACATTGTAGCATGGCATAGACAATTTACGTTTGCAGTTTGAAGAACACCTGCTTGCTTCTGATGATAAATTCTTTTGGCATCTTCATAAATTTGATGAATACCTGACCAATGAGTATTTGCGTTATTTGACATATGCAATTACACTAGTTTTTTACTAGATGTTGATGGCGCCAATGATCTGCATTGGATGGTGCACATGACCTGAAATAAATATTTTAAACATTAAACCGAAGCCAAGAGTAACAAGTGACGTTTTTTTTTTTTTTATGTAAGGAATAGAAAGTACAGATACTTGTGTGAAAATTTAATGAGTAGAAGTCAGAAGTAGGAAGAAAAATAAGTAATGGAGTAAAGTATAGATACCTAACAAGTGTACTTAATTACAGTAACAAAGTATTTGTACTTTGTTATTGGACACCTCTGCAGCTAAGCATCCAAATCTGGAAATTAATGCTGAAATAGTTCAACAAATATACACAGCATTGTCTCATTACAGATCTAAACAACTGCAGTTTCATTTTTTTTTTTTTTTTGGATAATAATTTAATCTGCTTGTATTTGTGCAGAAATCTTGCTTATTTTCCACCATATACTGTATATGAAATCTTGCCTATTTTCCACCATGATTGTTTACAATTCAGATGCTAGGATTCCCTGCATTTTTCTTTCTCCTTTTGTGTCTCATAGTTGAAGGGGGCGTATGATAAAAAGAATTACAGACCCCTCTCATCATTCTAACTGGGAGGTTGCACAATCAGTGGCTGACTAAATATGTTTTTGTCCCATTGTGTCACAAATGTGATAAACTTATATATTAGATATTAACCTTTTTTAAGACATGCATAACATCAATGTCCTTGCAATTTCCGCATTGTGTTGAAAAAAAGTGCCAAAAATGTAAAACATTTGGTGCAAAAAACACAATTAAAGATTTTTTAATGGGGAGCAAAATAGTAGCAGAAGAGTTTATGATGGTTTTAGAAAAGACTTCAAATCCAACAGATTAAACTGGGAGCGGAAAAGGTGTTTTGACAGAAAGGCAAATCAATCAAAGAGTTTGTTTTAAAAAAGGATGAATCGTCCTTCAACACCATGACTCTTGGTCAAGGTGTCAAACATCAGCTGGATGCTGATGAGCTTTAAAGCCCCAAGGAAAGAATGACAAACCCTGACTGTTGATCAAACATTTTCCAAATAACTCAGTCTGCTTCTCAGTCATCCAGGACTTCAAGCTAGGTCCCATTCTTACACAAGAACAAAGATATCAGCTTTATAGAAAACAAATGAAATCTGTCACTAAAGCTGTATTGTTGATGATAGAAAGGCTGTAGGGGTCTGCTTTGTTTCCTCTCATAAAAAAGTGTTCATATTCGTATTTGACAGGATGAAAACATACAACATAAAATATCGTATTACATAAATATTTGGTCTTACAACAACTGGAAAACTATGGGTTTGATTCTAGCTACCTCTTCCCACATGTTGATGTGCCATTGAGCAAGCCACTTAGCCCCAAGCTGCCAATCGATTAATGTATGAATGTGTGCACGTGTATGATAGCAGTTGGGTCAGTGCTTTGGGTGGACGGCTTCACTGGAAAAATAACAAATAAAATAATAAAACCTGCTTAAATGCTTACATGCTTAAATAAAAAGTTTCGCAATTTTTTCTGCCTGAAATATTTTTGCGGGCTCCTCAGTGGAACAGTGGGTAGCACTGCTGCCTTGCAGCAAGAAGGATCAGGGTTCAATTCCCGGCAGGGTCCTTTTGCATGGGTTCTCTCCAGCTTCCTCCCACAGTCCAAAAACATAACTGTTAGGTCAATTGGCTTTTCTAAATTCTCCCTAGGTGTGAGTGTGTCTGTGAATGGTTGGTTGTCCTGTGTGTCTCTGTGTTGTCCTGCGATAGACTGGCCCCTGCCTCTCATTCATAGACAGCACTTTTTATCTGACTAACAAATGTAAAAAATTATGGAATGGATGGAGAAAATTTCTACTAAAATCTAATACATTTTAATTAAACCCCATCCTTCAACTCATTAACTCTGATTAAAATGTAAAGTTTGAGCCCCTTGTTGTTCTTCCCTGAATGCATCTGTGATCCTTCTAATGATAATCCTCAGGTCTTATGCTTCACCATCACATATCTTAACATTTCACTGCATGAAAACAAACATTATGCAAATGCTGAAGCTTAAAGTCTCAGATATGCTCTTCTTCCTGTCTGCTCTGGCGCTGAAACACTGCTCAACATGGATAAATAAAGAAGGAAAGTTCACTTTTTAATGCCGCAGTGCAGTTCCAACTTTAAAGAATAACAATAAGAAACCCTTCAATGTGATGCAAACGATACGCAAAGTTTAGATTAAACAACATCAATTTGAGGTTTACAGATGCCTTGCTCAGGAGCAGGTTGCTCAGTTTCAATGACTTTGAATGATACATCAGTGGTCTGTACATGCATTAAAATGTCAGCTCATCCCTACGTGCCACCAAACCTCTAAACCTCTTACCCTAAAAAGATTTAAATCTGTATTTAGCATGTGAGCCTTGGGATGTTATTTGGGTGGTCTTCCATTGTGGGTTTAATTCTCAGTTTTGGCTAACTGCTTGACACACTTTCTGATAGAAAAAACAAAACATCTGATCCTCTATATTCTGTGCACAAGAGTGTGACATTTCAAAGAAAACCCTGACCTTGAAAAGTGGAAGATCTGCGCTGTAAAGGAGCAGCACCTCTGTAGGGCAGAAGTCTTTGAATATGAACCAAACTAGATTACATGTTCAGTTTAGAGTGTAGGTCTTCTTGGAGCTCTGTGCTTATGGTTAATTTTGACAGGCACTGACGAAATCTTGACTACTTATAAAACACCTTTCAAAAGATTCAAACTCCTTGACATCTTTAACCATTTTTTCTATTTACAAGAACATATTTTAAAGGTTTGTTTGTGATAGACCAGCACAAAGCAGCAAATAATTGTGAAATGAGAGGAGAATGTAAAAGCTTTGCAAAACCTCAAAAAAAAATAAAGCTTTGGGGTACATAAGCAAAATTTCAATTATGCTGATTTTTATACCGCTAATTAAAACCAGTACTATCCATCTTCACCATAACTGTAGAAATCTATCACTCCACATTGACCTAAACAACCTTTTTCCACACATCAAATGAGAAAACATTATACAGGGTTTCACTAGACAGGTTGGGTACAAAGTAGGAGCTGATGAGCTACAGGTCAGATGAGGAGTCGGTTAACCGGAAAACGATTTCTATGATGGTTTTTCACATAACTTTGAAATTCACAAACGTATGGAAGAATGTCATTAGGAGGAAAACAGAAGATGTTTGTTATGTTTCTTTTGCTGCCGAAAATAGTGTGAGCAACAGAGTAGAACATAATATAATCTAATAGAATCCAGTACAATAGAATCCAATAGAATAAAATAGAATCCAGCAGAACAGACTATAATCCAATAGAATAGATTATTTGCATAGAATATAATAGAACAGAATAGAGTAGAGTAGAGTAAAATAGAGTAGAACAGAAGAGAATAGAATCCAATATAATAGAATGGCATAGAATCCAACAGAATAGAAGAGAATCCATTAGCATAGAATATAATAGAATTGAATTAAATAGAGTAGAATTAAATAGAGTAGAGTAGAATAGAATAGAACAGAATCGAGTAGAATTGAAAATAATGGAATCCAATAGAATAGAATAGAGTTAAATAGAATAGAATAAAATCCAATAGAAAAGAATAGCATGTAAAACAGTCTATTTTAATACAAAGTACAAACATTCTGATCTGTTGTTTTCAAGAAGAGCA